AAGCGTGCAAACTAAATCCCCACGACCTATTCTGCCTTCTCTCACTCTATCTTTTCCTTAGGTCACCTTTATTATTCCACTTATCTCAACCTATATTATCTACACTACAACCTATTATTATTATTACTATTCTGCTTTTATGACTACACCGAATGACCAACGGGAGTTAGGTCAAACTCCATTCACGGTAGCAATACAGTCCTAACATACTGCATACTACAAACCACATCTTGACCAATCCCCGCACCACTCCTCTTGGAGTCTACCAGAGCTAAAGCAGTGAATGCTGAGAAGAGATGCCATCCTCTTGGAAAGAGTCCAGCGACGGGCAACAAAAGGAGTGGTTGGTCTCCGAAACAAACCATACGATGAAAGGCTGAAGAAATTAGGCCTGTTCACACTTAGTTACCGTCGGCTTAGGGGGGATTTGATTACTGCCTACAAAATAAAAAATGATTAGAGTCACTCAAACAAAGGTGCTCCGCCATTGAGTAGGTATAGGCTACCTCGTGGAAATCCCAGAAGGATAGCTCACCAGAGGGCAAGGACACAGGTGCGCTCCCACTTCTTTTCACTGCGGGTTTGTCGTCCCTGCAATTCCTTACTGGCAGATGTAGCTATGGCATCGTCTTTGGACGCCTTTAAGCGAAGGCTGGACAACCATGCAGCGAGACAAGGGCTGCATCCAAATGGCTTATCCCCTTAAAATCGCATACACCATTCAGGGGTAGACAATTAAACTTGTCGTTTTATTTCTTTACATTCTCTTCCGTCTTACTCTCCTGACAACTTATTAATATTATAATTACTATTATTATTATTATTATTATTACTATTACCGATATATATATTATTCTTCAAACTTAATGAGCTGACTGTTATTACGTTTCCTATTTTCGTTTGTGTCTCTTAGTCTGAATAGCTTCACTAATTATATCTATTATTATTACTATTATTATTATTATTACTATCTCTTTTCTCTTGTCGACAATACCGAAGGACTAACTGGCGAAAGGATCAACTCCATTCACAGTAGTAACAGTCTTAACACACCTCAAACTACAAACCACATATAATTAATCTTAAGACTACTCACTTTGGAGTCAACCAAAGCTACGACAGTCGAGTGGCGGGACGAGCTACGCAGAAGTTTACCGAAGATCGGGAACCTATACCTTACATTGTAGAAGCAAGCACAAAGAAATCAAAGTGATTTATACTAGCTCGTAAAAACGATATTGGATATTGGAACCCATGAAGTTATCTACCGCACCATGTTGTTTCAGTATCAGCCAGTTTGTCCAAAGCAAAAACAGAACTGCACTATACATCGCATTGTAAAAACTTATATAGAATTACAGTCTGCTTTAGTTATTAAGCCTTAGACTGCGAAATATCTGTAAATTTTGGCTTTGACCACGTGGTCATAGTATTCGACATAGTCCTCCGCGAGCGCTTACAGTGGGACAATACACAGCCCGATCTGTGTTATAACAAAGCCAACTACACCAAAATGCGAAGACTTCTGTTTGAAGCAAATTGGCCTAAAATATGGACAGAGCTAACAGTAGAAGAACACTGGAGAGTGGTAAAGGAGATCATTCACCAGGCGGTCTCAGATACTGTTCTTTTAGTCACACCAAAAGCTAGGAAACAACGTTCATGGCTAAAAAGCGAAAAGCCTAGTTTGCGTGGCGACGTTCGAAGAGTCAACCCGAACATGAAGTGTACCTTGAACTCAGGATCGATGTAACATACGAGTCCGGAGCGATAGAAGGACATTCCAGGGAAACCTCGCCAATAAGCTTCTCGTGAACCCCAAAAGCCTATACAGGTTTATGTCCGAAAGAAAACCGACCAACCAGGGAGAATGCAATCTAGTGGGTTCTGATGGGAAATCTCTTACTAGTCTTGAAATGGCAGAGACATTCAGCCTAGCCTTTCACAAGCAACTAAACAGTAACGAGGATATTACCCCCACAGAACATCAAGATTACATTGCCAAACCAACGCGCGAAAACCTGCTGGGTACATTTCAAATTACCCCGGCTATGGTACTTGTAAAATTGGGAAAGTTGGCTTCGGGAAAGTCTTCAGGTTGTGATGACATCAGACCATCTGTCATGAAGCAGTGTTCAGAAAGTCTCTGCCAACCCATAAGTGATCTGTTCCAACACTCCCTTGATGTAGGGAAACTTCCATGTGAATGGAAACGAGCAATCCTATCCCCTATCTTCAAGGGTGGGGACCGGCACAATGCGACCAGTTACAGACCAGTTGCTCTACTTCCAGTGATATCGAAGATATTGGAAAGTCTCAATGACGACCACATGAGAAAATACTTCAATGGGACAGCACGGTTTCAGGAGGGGAAGATCCTGCGTGACGAATCTTCTACTAGCTTGGAACGATTGGACACTATCCTGGGACGAAAAGGCACCAGCCCACGTGATCTTTCTCGACTTTGCGAAAGCATTCGACACAGTTCACCATGGTCTGCTCCTTCACAAAGTAAGCAAGGAGGGTGTTTCTGGAGCACTTCTCGCATGGCTGAAAGATTACTTAGGCGAGAGAGAATTCTGCACCAAAGTCAACCGCATCCGATCATCCTGGCACACCTCGGCGTCAGGGGTTCCTCAGGGTTCTATCCTAGAGCCGTTGATGTTTTTGATTTTTATCAACGACCTGCCCTCTCAACTGAACTGCTCTGTGCTTCTTTACTCTGACGACGTAAAGATTTGGAGAGCAATAAACTCATCGGAAGACTCAGATAGATTGCAGGCTGACCTGAAAACTCTGGGAAACTGGGCTCTGGCTAACGGATTGCCTTTCAACCTAAAGAAGTGCGAAGTAGTGCAGCTTCATTCCGGCAGGTCACAGAGTGTAAATTACACCCTCGGTGGCCAGAACTTGAGTTGTGTTCCATCAGAGTGTGATCTAGGTCTTATTCTAACAGAAAAGCTAGACACCAGTGGAAATTACTCGAGGGACGTCTCCAAAGCCTACGCAACTTTACACCTTATGCATAGGCAGCTGGGAGCTCCCACTCCCGAACTGTTCTTAAGGTTATATAAGGCATATGTGAGGCCACACCTTGAGGTGCATAATATCATTGCACCTCCGCTACTCAAAAGGGATGCTAACATTCTAGAAAGTGTCCAGAGACGAGCGACAGAATGGGTGATCGGCCTCCGCAACAAATCATATGAGGAACGACTAAAGAAATCAGGTCTTTTCACACTTAGTTACCGTAGGCACAGAGGAGACCTCATCACCGTCTACCAGATCTTAAATGACCAGGCCCACCCAAATAAAAGCATCCTGCCATCAAGTGATTATAGGCTTCCACGAGGTAACCCGCTAAGGACAGCACACCAGAGACCAAAGACTCGAGTGCGATCACATTTCTTTCCGCTTCGTGTTTGCCGTCTCTGGAACGCTTTACCGGCGGCCGTGAATACAGCGCCATCTCTGGGGATTTTTAAGCGGAAGCTAGACAATCATGCAGAAATGCAAGGTTTGTGTCTCAATGGCTTATCATCATAAAACTTAAAACCACACTGTCAATGGATAAGCGTGCAAACTAAATCCCCACGACCTATTCTGCCTTCTCTCACTCTATCTTTTCCTTAGGTCACCTTTATTATTCCACTTATCTCAACCTATATTATCTACACTACAACCTATTATTATTATTACTATTCTGCTTTTATGACTACACCGAATGACCAACGGGAGTTAGGTCAAACTCCATTCACGGTAGCAATACAGTCCTAACATACTGCATACTACAAACCACATCTTGACCAATCCCCGCACCACTCCTCTTGGAGTCTACCAGAGCTAAAGCAGTGAATGCTGAGAAGAGATGCCATCCTCTTGGAAAGAGTCCAGCGACGGGCAACAAAAGGAGTGGTTGGTCTCCGAAACAAACCATACGATGAAAGGCTGAAGAAATTAGGCCTGTTCACACTTAGTTACCGTCGGCTTAGGGGGGATTTGATTACTGCCTACAAAATAAAAAATGATTAGAGTCACTCAAACAAAGGTGCTCCGCCATTGAGTAGGTATAGGCTACCTCGTGGAAATCCCAGAAGGATAGCTCACCAGAGGGCAAGGACACAGGTGCGCTCCCACTTCTTTTCACTGCGGGTTTGTCGTCCCTGCAATTCCTTACTGGCAGATGTAGCTATGGCATCGTCTTTGGACGCCTTTAAGCGAAGGCTGGACAACCATGCAGCGAGACAAGGGCTGCATCCAAATGGCTTATCCCCTTAAAATCGCATACACCATTCAGGGGTAGACAATTAAACTTGTCGTTTTATTTCTTTACATTCTCTTCCGTCTTACTCTCCTGACAACTTATTAATATTATAATTACTATTATTATTATTATTATTACTATTACCGATATATATATTATTCTTCAAACTTAATGAGCTGACTGTTATTACGTTTCCTATTTTCGTTTGTGTCTCTTAGTCTGAATAGCTTCACTAATTATATCTATTATTATTACTATTATTATTATTATTACTATCTCTTTTCTCTTGTCGACAATACCGAAGGACTAACTGGCGAAAGGATCAACTCCATTCACAGTAGTAACAGTCTTAACACACCTCAAACTACAAACCACATATAATTAATCTTAAGACTACTCACTTTGGAGTCAACCAAAGCTACGACAGTCGAGGGGCGGGACAAGCTACGCAGAAGTTTACCGAAGATCGGGAACCTATACCTTACAATCAAGAAGAAAGCACAAAGAAATCAAATTGGTTTACACAAGCTCGTAAAAACGATATTGGATATTGGATATATTAGAGTGGTGGGACTTACTACGCAGAAGCTCATCGAAGATCTGGAACCTCTATCTCACAATCAAGAAGCGAGCTCAAAGAAATCACTGGTTTATACTAGCTCGTAATCAGGATATTGGAAGTAGTAATTGAATGTTGAAACGTACACAAATTTAATGTGGAGCTACGGATGGGTGAATGATGGAAGATTGCCTTAATGGTACTGTTACATCTGCGCATTTTCAAAGAGATGCTGAAGAAACAACTGCCAACTTGCCGTCGTTGCCAGGCAAAACGGGATTTTATACAATGGCTGGAATCCTGGATTTCTTGCAACTGGAATGGTCGAAAATGCAGTTAGAACGCACACAGTGGGATGTAGAAAAGGCGGAGCTACAGGTAAAACTACAAAATTCAAAAGTAGACACATGTAGGCAAAGATAGAGTTTCTACAAGGCAAGTTTGAAGGACTTGAAAACTTGAGATATAATCTCATTCGTCGAATTAAAATGCTGGAATATGCTTTAATTCGAGAAAGAAGTTGCAAGAATCAAGAAGGCCTTTCCAAGGAAAACGAAGAAGCCATAATCAACATGCACTTTTCTAGATCCGAATCTATTTCGGATCAATTAAAAATAAATACAAGCAGTGAATGGCAGAATGAAAGTGGTCAACTAAATAAGTAAATGCATAATTTAACCTTAACAGATTCAAAGGTATCTTGTTGACTCCTCCTCGTTTAGTGTTTCACCGGGTTTTGGTAACTCAACGGTGTGTAATTTATCCGATTCAAGTTCACTATTCGGTGGTAGCCTCGAACAGGAAGAGCATCCTATGAATGTGTCGCCTAAACATGGTAGGTGATATTTTCTACTTTGGAGGCTGTGCATTTAATCTAAATAGTTGTTTGATAAATAAAACTAGGGAAATCAGGTTATCAAGATTGTTGCATAAATAATTGATTGCCCTTTCTTTCCGTATTCCTAAAGTATACTTCAGATTCAGATTATGAGGATAGAAGGCTCTTGTTGCCTATGTTAATCCTCGCGATATGTATCTCTGCAGAAATCCAGTTTCTCTTTGAAAGCGCCCACCAATGGAGCTGTTACTACTGAATCAGGTAAGGAGTTCCAGTCGTTGACCACTCTGGGAGAGAATCTAAACTCCAACCGATTTTATTCGACCTTCAACAAAAACAGTATCCTTTGATGGTTAACCATTATTCCTTACTCTGTCTAATATGTGTGAGAACCCAAGTTCAGGTTATTATTTATAGTGGAGTTTTTCCATAATACATTAGTTGGATCGTCCGCCACTGAACTGTGCTAGAATACAGAATACACTTGCTTGATTACTAGCCTGTGGTATATGCGGGGATGTTCCAACTGTTTTTCTCCATGAACGACAGTGCACCGGCTTCAGGAATGACCCAGGTGGTGTTTTCAGGTTATCTGATTATGCATTGTAAAAGCAATGTATTTTGCACGATCGTGGGATATATTCAAATTGCCATATCTTCGGTCGATTCTTTTTAGTGTGATGGAACATTTAACTTATTAATGTTGAACCTTAATCCATATCTTTTCCAACAAGAGTAAGTAGCTGATAAAAAGCAATCACAAAATGCATTCGGTATCTTTACGTAGGTTTCATACGAATTTATGGACATGGGAGAAACAAGGGGAATATTACGTGTCTTCGAGTCATTAACATTTTGGGCTGTATTGGGTATTGTTCCGTTATTCCCTGTCCTGTTTCACAAGCAGACACTAACCCAACACACCTGGTCTTTCTGACCCTGTTGTTCAGTAGAGTACTAAAAGATGCATCCACTCCCTGTGACTTATGATCTTCAATGAAACTGTTTTGTATTTCTTTATTACTCCTTTGTCTCACACCTCTGCTCACCGTTTCTATTATGCTTTTCTTGTACTTTCTTCTCTTGCTTCGCGTGCTACACGGAATGTGGCGACTTGAACTTCCGCACATTTGTGCAAAGTTCTATGTCGAAAACAGACAGACTAAAAGCTGGCAAACAACAACTTGTATAGACGATGTTGGAGGCTTCCGAAATTTTGCCTATTCAAATAATTTCATCCTGTCTATATGTGAGAAATTCACTGATGACTTGTTGACAGACATTTATAACTTTTTGCTGAATTAGTCTTAGCAGAATGGTTCCTTGTATTTAATGCATCCATGAAGAACACAACTTTACCATAATTAATGGTCTTTTCAGTCTTCGTCCTATCTGATGAAGCTGTGAAATAAGCAATATCTCCATATTAAATGGGTTATTAATAAATTTTCGAAGTGTGTCGTAAGAACACAAAACGCTTCATAGGAACTAGTCGAAATACGGAGTTGCCTACTAAATGTCTTTATCTCACAGCTTGTACAGACTGAGTTTTCGAATTTCAAATCAATTTGTGGTATCATTTTATTCTTGAATCCATTAGTTAACGAAAAGCATCTATCCGGGAAACCACGAATTTTCTGTTCTGGGTTTATAAAAAGTTGTAAATGGTACTTCGACATGGGTCCACGTAAAAATAAGTTCTTATATTAATGTGCTTTGGGAGACTTTCTTTAGGACCCAAACCAGTAGTCGGTATTGCCAACTTCATAGAAACAAGTTGGAATTCTTCTGTAGTGTTATTGTAGACGGAAATACGTCTTGAAAATCCCCCATCGTCTGTTTATTGCAACTCCCATTTAATTTCAAAGGAAACAGTAGCTTCTTTTGATAAGCTGTTTTTTTATTGTTTATATTGCAGATAATTCTGAGTCGAAAGTGTTACGAAATCCATTGGAACTTGCTAACGATCTTTGTAATCTAGATCACAATAAACTTCTAAACGACGACTCGCTTGACTTTAATTTTTCTAAAAGTTCCAGCTTTGATTATTTATCCCTAATGGTATGTTTGTATGACTAGTTTTTTATTTGAAAATTATTGCTTTATTTTGCTTAATAAGCTGATTTTAAGTTTTCGAGTATATTGGTGACTTATGTAATTCATAGAAATATTTGAGAAGTAATCATATATGATAATAGTGAGTGCTATTACAAGCCAGTGAAGTTGTGTTCGTTGTTATTAAGCTTTATAATTGTAATAAATGAATATCTTTTGTGTTTATTTTGATGTATTACTCCTGCTTCATTCTGTGCGTATATATATATATATATATATATATATATATATATATATATATATATATATATATATATATATGGCTTTAAACAGATGTACTTTTATTAGCTTTTACGGCATCTCTGTTTTGTACTGATAACAAGACTAAATTAACAATTTAGGTATAAAGAAGTATCAGATGTGAGACTGATGTGTTATTGTGGGTTATGTATAACTAGTTTCACGCCATAACTGATACTTTTGTGTGCATATTCCAATCTTAGCATTATATTGTTTTTGTCAGTCATAACCATACTGTAGGATTTAATGCACAGACTAACTGAGAATGTAATTTACGTTATTGTATTACATACCTTTTCGCTATCTCTATATACTTAAATTGCCAATACTTGTGGTCATGCCTCAATGAAATTGGTTGTTCATATATGCCTATATAAATAGTGATACATGTGATTGTCATTTGGTTGTTTATATTCTAACTTTAAGTTTTCTGCCATGCTAACTAGTTTATTTTTAATTGACTGTATAAATGCTGAGCGTATTTCGTAATTATTAAATTCCTGCTTCACTGATCTCTACACTTGTTTCGTTTCGTTTATATTTCTGTTTAATTCGTTGCGTAAACACTAAATCTAGCAATCTATGCATAGTTGTAAACGTAAATATAATTCATAGTTTCAATGTTCAATCTATAACCATAATTAATTAGTGATATAATGCCATCCGCGAGAAATATTTAAATAACTAGTTGCACGTCAGAACTATATCATACAGTAGATGAATCTACGAATCAGTAAGTTTATAAATGTTCGTGATTGGCAATAGCTATCTGTATGGTTTAATAAAAGTGTAGTGAAAGTAATCAATAGTTCGACATTAGACCACCTGCTCCAAACAGACTATAGTGCTAGCATCATCTATCGAGTACCAAAATGAATTAATAAAAGTCTCTAAATACCAAATGCTCCAAACAGCAGAAGTTACTGCCGTTTTGCTGAATACAACCGGAGCTCTGCATGCCAAAGAAACACGTACAGCTATTATTGCCACCTTGTCGTAATATTGAATGTATGGATTCATAAATACTTTATTACGTCGCACCCATTCATCTGTGCGTCGGAGGCACAGGTGGTTAGGACTGTCGCCGACCATGCACATGGTCCGGGGTTCGATCCCCTGCCGACGCACATCTGATATCCATGGTCGGCTTGCAAAATTTGGCCTACCGATATCACATGCTGAAAATTCCATACCTGTACCAAAAAATACTGTGTGGAATCAAGCTGTAATCAAAAAGAAATTCAAAGAAAAATAAAGTATATAGTCAGTATGAATAAAGTTCAGTATGAGCATTAGTCATCAACATTTATTACTGCATATTCGATGTTATTCATGCCAATTTATTTTTGAAATCTGATGTTCAGTTTAGTTTTACGTTTATGCATAATATCACATACACACGTTAGGAACTATAGCCTATCAATGATCTATTCGCTCATCAATCTTGGAATCTGTGTATCGCTGATTCGGTGTTACTTAAAAAATAATGTCAATAACAGTAATTCCTTTATTATTATGGATATATAACTGCAGAACCTGATGATGAAGTTATCGAAAAAAATATTCTTTGTTCAATAATCAGTCTTTTGAAGTTTCTAATTGATCAAATTTAGGAAAGTCCACTATCCAACTTGTTTTCCAGCCACTACTGACACTTACATACAGTTGTCAACATACTATACCTGTATTGGGTGGGTGCGGAGGCTGATTACAGTACCTACCTACTCGATTCTCAATAGATGTTGCGGCGTTTGAGCCTATCACCCAGTAGTTGAATGTCAAGCTCATAAACCGACTATAAGTCATAAGTTGAAAATCCATCTTACCCGTTTCTATTTTGGTCAGTAGAAATACAGCAATCACTTAGAACCTACTACTGTTAAAAAAAATCTTTATTATTTTCTGAAGTGAGGAATATTTAAAAGCTTCGTGTGTACAAAATTCATAGTACTTTAATTTCTTTTTTCATATTTCATAGAATGAATCTGATCTAGCTTTAACAATAGAACCTCAATGTATTACGGACCCTGAGACTGCTGAAGCGCTTTTAGAATTTGAACAACTTGTTGCACAAGGCACGTACTTAGATAAAAACTCTTTAACAGGTTAGTTCTATGTCAAGATTTATCATAATGATAATTCAGTTTGATGAATCAGATATCTTCCTTAAAACTAATCAAATATCCACAAGATGAACTATTCATTTTCATATCCAAAAAGAACTCAGTCGATTTAAAAAATAATTTAACATTACTGTTGAATTCAGATGGTTTCAATGTAGAACTCTGCACCGATGTGCAGCAGTTCGAGTCGCCACACATCACTCAGCACACAAAGCAAGAGAAGAAACTAAAGAGAAATTCAAAATAAAGACAGTATACAGAGATGAGGCGAAAAAATAGTAATATCGAAGATCCATATATTTTTATTGGATATTATAAGTCACAAAGAGTGGATGCATCTGAGCCGGTCATTGAAAACGATTTTTAGTCATATCACCAATTGTCTCCAGCCATTGGTTTTTACCGTCCCGAGGACCCCAACCAGGAAGTCTACACATTCCTACGTGGCTGGCTCCAACTGTTGTGGATTTCATTGACTGATGAGGTCATCTTTTGGTTTGACCACCATAGGCTCTTTTCCAGCCTGATCTTATGTCAGCTAACATTGCCCGTCGAACAAAGCGGTGGCTAGGCAGGCATGCGTTACACATGCCTTAACCATCTCAATCGATGCAGCTGCTTCACAACCTCGTCGATTGATTTCCCCTCCTTATCTTGCACTCAACCGATGCCTTATCTCAATATTGCTCACCCAATTATACTACTTCACATGGGAGATAGAACGCAGGTACCTATGATCAAAGACAGCTAGCCAGGCTTTTCGATTCTTCCACTTTCAATGGCCAGGTCTCATAGCCATAAAGGAGGACGGAGTGAACTACTTAACAGTACACACTCCCTTTGATTAACAGCCAGCCGTATATCACGCCTGTTAAGCCAGATATGGTGTAAGTTGACGTATTCAAAACGGGCCTTCTGTATCCGTGCTGAGATTTCACCAGCGATCAACCTGCTACCACTGGTTGATGCAACCTCCAAAATGAGTGAAGCGATCAACGTGTTCTATCACTTCACTCCCTATTTCTAAGCTAGGAGTTGATGTAGTCCAGTCCTGTAGAATCATCTTACATTCGGCAACAGAAGAGCATCACATGCCAAACATTTGCAGATCTCTGCTCTTCAAGGTGCTCAGAAGACTCTGCATTTTGTCAGTGTCCTCGTCTAGAACGACTACATCATCTGCATATTTTAAGTCAACGAGATTATTCCGTGGTAACAAGTCAACCCCTGAGTCGCTGAAGTCAGTTAAAGTTAAGTCCATTAGCAGGTCTATGATGAAACTGAGTAGAAATGGGGATAGTGAGCATCCCTGGCAGACACCACTTCAGGTGATATCTCACCGTAAGCTCTCACCTGGCTGCATGAGCTCAAGTAGAGTGCCTTGAGCAGTGTAATGTATTTTCTCGGCATTCCCTTCACCACCAAACATCGCCATAGTACCTCTCCGTCGACAGAATCGAATCCCGCCTTTAGGTCAAGAAATTCGACGATTGTTGGACTCCGGTGAGTATGCCTATGTTCCAGAACCTGTCGGAGGGTGAATATATGATAAGTACACCCTCTTCCTGCTCTAAAGGTTGCCTGGTTCTCTTTTGGAAGCATCATTCTCCTTAACCCACATCACCATCATCTTACTTCCCTGCTACAGCCAGTTCTATTCTTCAGGCTAGTGAGTCGTCTTCACTTCACTTCAGATCTTACATATGGTTGTTCATGTTGATCAGGCTTTCAAGCTTACCACCGCGGCTATATGAATGACCCGTCGAAGGGACGGATTGTTCAGGTCCACTGAAGAGTGGCGGACCGGCCCAGGTTGGGAAACCCAGCAAACAAAAGTTTCTTCGTGGTGCGATAGTGGGATAGTGTATGTGAATGGTGGGTATGTGGCAACCATTGCGCCGTGCTAGCCCAGACGCCTGATCAACATGAGCAGTCGTATGCCAGACTTAAGGAATAAACCCTTCTCCCTCTCCAGTCATTGGTTAGAAATGTTGATTTCAGTTTTGGCCGCTTCTTATCAATCTGCATCTGTATACTATTTATAAATCTTGTCCATAAGACACGCCACATATTTATTGTATTTGAACACAGTGATCGTGTTGTTAATTGTCAGTGATTCAATTCTAAATAAATGATATGTTTGAAGTTCTCTAGAGTTATATCTTGAAGCTTTGCAAGCCACTACTTGATCAGATGCCCAGAAGTGACAAACTGTTTCTCCTCTCCTCTGGTTAGCCAAGTTGCAAAATACTTCAAAATGTGTTTTTTTGTGGACTTGAAGGTGTGTACCATACTGCACAGGAAGAATTAAACTATGAGGTGCATCATTGAGGTGACCGTGAACTATGAATTACCGTTTATTTGTAGTGAAGAAAGGTAGTAATGCTATCCGATTGTTAAGTCCCTTAGTAGACTAAAATAATCGCCTGTGCATTACACAACAGTTTTAATTTTTATACGTCTTTGTGAAAATAATTTATCACATAGCAAATATGAACATCACTACAATTTTTAAGTATTTTTAAAAAAAAATGATGTACAGTTTTTGGCTTATACTGGTAACACTGACATTTAGTAGTATTCGTTCAATCATAAGTGGAATATTCTATTCGCTGTTACAAAATGGGGCTGTTTTGTTTCTAGCTTTTGTATCTTTAATATGTATATTTGAGGAGAAGTAAGGCAGACAGCCTGAGTTGCTTTTTTTCACTCAGCTAATCAGCTGATTTTGTTTGGGAAGACATGCTATACTGTGCCTGTCCTATATTCAAAGTTATATATGTCTGTATACTAATCGAAAGTTAAACAGCCAATCAGCCTGTAGGTACATTTTTTTTCCAATGCCATGAAAACGTCTAGTTATCGATTTCGGTTTTGGCATAGATCAATAGGATTTTATCCCCGTGCGCGTTAGAAAGTTATGCAACCTTGTTATTTGTCTCTGTTTTTTTTCTTGTCTTGTTTTCCTTAAATGTTTCGTTTACTTCAGTGTCAATATTTCAGTCAGTTTTGTTGGGAGAGAAAAAAGCACTGTAGAATGTGAAATTATCGATGTACTTTACCGAATAAAATTGACGTTAAAATTATGTAGAAAATTGTCTGTAGTTCTTTAGTTTGGTTGTTTATAGAAGTGGTGTAAATCGAATTCAACTGGTACTGATAACTTTCGAAATATGTATATATTTTTTAAGTCCGATCGGCTAAACTTTAATTAAGTCGTGTCGAGAAACTAAAGCTGGTATAGTTAACAGACAGATAATCTCTATGATATCCCGAAAGGGATGACAGATACAAAACCAAGTTCAGTCCGTCTAAAAAGCTATTGCACTATAACATATACCTAGATTACTCCTCTGCTAACAATATCCGTCATTTAGAATAGATCGAAATTGTGGTGACGGCATTATATGAAGAATATAGGATAGTTGGAGGCAACACGTAGGAAACCTTGCATCTAAGATTCCTGCCGGTTGGAACTCACCTATCATCAACGCGTATGCGAAACTTTCAAGGAACTCATGTTCTTTCCGAGATTCAAAACCGCCTCACCCAGTGCCGCCTGAAATCATAGACGTTACCACAGAACTAATCGGACTAGCGATTCATCTCCTGTAGGACTGTATTGGATACTTTTTTAATTGGACACTAGCAAGTGACTAGAAGGGTGTGTCTAGTTCTTTGTTTGGTGCCTCCAACCATCTAATATAATCAAATCACAATGTCCACTGTGACGGTGAGCCATCTAGGACGGTGTGGGGTCACATTGCCAACCTGACTGATAGAACTCAGTCTGCAACAAACAAACAAACAAACGACTAAGCACATCACACTAGACACCAGTTGCTGGTGTCCAATCAAAATATTCAAGAAAGTTTCTCCTAGCGTTTATCGATATTAGGGTACTTCCACAGACCAATTTAATTCTCAGTATTACGGGAAATCATTTCTGAAACTATTCACCGAGCGTCGACAGAAAATACACGCAATCGTAATGACACAGTACGAAATCATACGTCTTATCTCATCCACCAAATAACATGTCAGTTGTTGTTTCACACAGTATCATAAAATTCCATCTCACAAGACACCCTTCCTAAGTTTCTGAGAAACTTTACTGTCTATAAAAACTAGGAATGAGGCACTATATGGTTGGGAGGAAATCTTAGAACAGAGTTATTGTCACACACGTTTGTGGGTGGTGTGTATGTGTGAATCACGCATAAATTCTCTCCTAATTAAGGCTATACTATTATAAAAAGAGTACTAAAATGCAATACTGGGGTTTTTCATAACCACCAATGCTGTTTTCCTGTTAGGAATATAAAGTTCCAAAATGGTGACAAATCTAGCGAAATCAGCTGGGATTTATGTCACACTTAATTCAATCATCATACCGGCCACCAGCCCCAAACGACAAACCAACAATCCTACAGTTAGAGAAAAATTCAGGACCAAAGTCTAGTGTCAAATGCTTGCTTCACTACACCGGGTTACATTGCACACCTACATTCCACTCTGGCCTTTAATTTCAAATTTGTCCACACACAATTTACAGGAACTAATGAGTCGGCCAGTAGTATAGGACACATGCTGTTAGGCGTAAGGACAAAGATGTTCATCCATTAATGGTAACATCTGTTTGCACAGCTTAGTAAAACACCTTATTTAAACAAAGTGAAAACGAATGTTTGTGCAGAATCATATGAGGCCATCATTCTTTTCATCTGTTTGTACATCATCCAGAAGAATATGCTCCACAGAAACACTGGAAGAAGAAATTTGAAATATTGAGAAAGTTTTGAAAATAACGGTTACCCTCCGAAATTCATCAGTAAGTATGGAAGATCTGAAAATCTAAAAGTGAAACAAGCCATCGTAAATAAAAACCGTATCTCCATCTAACTCGATTTTAAAAGTGATAATATTGCAGGAATAATCAGTAGAAGACTGAAAACTACCCTGGCTAGAGCTTATCCTGCAGTCTAACTGGTTCGAATTCAGCGAACAATAAACTCTTTGGTACAATCAAAGGTTGATAGATACCATTCCTATATTAACGCTAATTCTGTATCTGTAGGAGCAGCTACATTGGGAGCACAGAAAGAAGAGCATATCTCAGATTCTCTGGATATGATGTACCAAAAGGTTTACGTCTCAAGGGAACAAATACTTTGAACAGTGCTATTGCCATACATCTTGTTGACACGGCCCATGAGGTGGACGGCTGGGAATCTTTAGAGATTATTAATAGACAATGTAACTCAACTCTCCTCAAATTTGTCGAAGCAATCACCATTAAACATTTAAAAGCTGATTTATGTGTTCAGAATGATTCACTTATTAGTTGTTCTTTGACTTGGTGAGTCAACGTCTGATCTCTTCGTGTAAATTGATTACATAATCTTTTACTTTCATCCCCGATTGTTCGCCTTAGTGTAATTCATTTCTTCTCGTTTCTATGAATTGAATTAAACTCACTGCACTACTACTCATCATCACCTTCTCTCCTTTTGTCTCGACTATGCAACTCAATTTTCAATGTATCCGACCATTAATTTTGCATGTCGATATTCTGTTGGAACGTTGACCTTCTGCATAAATTGTATAAATGCAACTGGCAACAAATGGAATTCTTTTGTTGTTAAGAGACTAAGAGAGTAATGTACAAAAATGCTTTGCTGTTAGTGGTTGATTTCATTTCGTCACGCTCCTTTATTTACCTATTCATTGTTCTTTTCGAGACAGAAATTACAAATCTCACAGTTTTGAATAATACCACCAAAGACAGAAAATATAGTGCAAATCGCATTTCACAGAGAAGATTCAGTGGAACTCTGTTTATCACAATAAAGAATAATACCCTACTCTCTTTGTGCGTACTGTTTAAGTTGTAGAGAAAAAAGAAGAAAAGAAATGCAGTTATCAGGAAAAAGCTATACACAATTTGGAAAATGTGAAAACACAACATCAATGAAATCTGATCGAAATATGCGGTCATTTATGTTAGATGAATCTTGATCGGCTGAAAAACCGCAGTATCGATAGGGTTGAGCAATAATTTGTTGATTAGGCTCACCACCAGTACCGTGTCTAGCAACAAAATTCGGATTGGCAGGATTCCGGAAGTTGTTCACTATTCCACGATGTATTGGGAGATTGCATCTTCCTAAATACTCTAAAAACGATCCACCATTCTTTGATAGACAGCTTAAATCACCTAGAGTCTAATATTCAGGGAAAAAGTTGTGTGCTAAGGCCTGGTCAGCACTGAGACGTTTACTTGGATCTAAGACAAGCCTTTTATTAATTAAATCAACCGCTGACGGGCATGAGATCTGTGGCGACAGTTTCTCTTTTAAGTGGCATTTAGTCTCTTTGGGTAGTTTTATTTTCTGAAAAGTTTCTCAATTTTGAACGGACAGCCGAAGTTAAAAATTGAGAAACTTTTCAGAAAATAAAACTACCCAAAGAGACTAAATGCCACTTAAAAGAGAAACTGTCGCCACAGATCTCATGCCCGTCAGCGGTTGATTTAATTAATAAAAGGCTTGTCTTAGATCCAAGTAAACGTCTCAGTGCTGACCAGGCCTTAGCACACGACTTTTTCCCTGAATATTAGACTCTAGGTGATTTAAGCTGTCTATCAAAGAATGGTGGATCGTTTTTAGAGTATTTAGGAAGATGCAATCTCCCAATACATCGTGGAATAGTGAACAACTTCCGGAATCCTGCCAATCCGAATTTTGTTGCTAGACACGGTACTGGTGGTGAGCCTAATCAACAAATTATTGCTCAACCCTATCGATACTGCGGTTTTTCAGCCGATCAAGATTCATCTAACATAAATGACCGCATATTTCGATCAGATTTCATTGATGTTGTGTTTTCACATTTTCCAAATTGTGTATAGCTTTTTCCTGATAACTGCATTTCTTTTCTTCTTTTTTCTCTACAACTTAAACAGTACGCACAAAGAGAGTAGGGTATTATTCTTTATTGTGATAAACAGAGTTCCACTGAATCTTCTCTGTGAAATGCGATTTGCACTATATTTTCTGTCTTTGGTGGTATTATTCAAAACTGTGAGATTTGTAATTTCTGTCTCGAAAAGAACAATGAATAGGTAAATAAAGGAGCGTGACGAAATGAAATCAACCACTAACAGCAAAGCATTTTTGTACATTACTCTCTTAGTCTCTTAACAACAAAAGAATTCCATTTGTTGCCAGTTGCATTTATACAATTTATGCAGAAGGTCAACGTTCCAACAGAATATCGACATGCAAAATTAATGGTCGGATACATTGAAAATTGAGTTGCATAGTCGAGACAAAAGGAGAGAAGGTGATGATGAGTAGTAGTGCAGTGAGTTTAATTCAATTCATAGAAACGAGAAGAAATGAATTACACTAAGGCGAACAATCGGGGATGAAAGTAAAAGATTATGTAATCAATTTACACGAAGAGATCAGACGTTGACTCACCAAGTCAAAGAACAACTAATAAGTGAATCATTCTGAACACATAAATCAGCTTTTAAATGTTTAATGGTGATTGCTTCGACAAATTTGAGGAGAGTTGAGTTACATTGTCTATTAATAATCTCTAAAGATTCCCAGCCGTCCACCTCATGGGCCGTGTCAACAAGATGTATGGCAATAGCACTGTTCAAAGTATTTGTTCCCTTGAGACGTAAACCTTTTGGTACATCATGTCCAGAGAATCTGAGATATGCTCTTCTTTCTGTGCTCCCAATGTAGCTGCTCCTACAGATACAGAATTAGCGTTAATATAGGAATGGTATCTATCAACCTTTGATTGTACCAAAGAGTTTATTGTTCGCTGAATTCGAACCAGTTAGACTGCAGGATAAGCTCTAGCCAGGGTAGTTTTCAGTCTTCTACTGATTATTCCTGCAATATTATCACTTTTAAAATCGAGTTAGATGGAGATACGGTTTTTATTTACGATGGCTTGTTTCACTTTTAGATTTTCAGATCTTCCATACTTACTGATGAATTTCGGAGGGTAACCGTTATTTTCAAAACTTTCTCAATATTTCAAATTTCTTCTTCCAGTGTTTCTGTGGAGCATATTCTTCTGGATGATGTACAAACAGATGAAAAGAATGATGGCCTCATATGATTCTGCACAAACATTCGTTTTCACTTTGTTTAAATAAGGTGTTTTACTAAGCTGTGCAAACAGATGTTACCATTAATGGATGAACATCTTTGTCCTTACGCCTAACAGCATGTGTCCTATACTACTGGCCGACTCATTAGTTCCTGTAAATTGTGTGTGGACAAATTTGAAATTAAAGGCCAGAGTGGAATGTAGGTGTGCAATGTAACCCGGTGTAGTGAAGCAAGCATTTGACACTAGACTTTGGTCCTGAATTTTTCTCTAACTGTAGGATTGTTGGTTTGTCGTTTGGGGCTGGTGGCCGGTATGATGATTGAATTAAGTGTGACATAAATCCCAGCTGATTTCGCTAGATTTGTCACCATTTTGGAACTTTATATTCCTAACAGGAAAACAGCATTGGTGGTTATGAAAAACCCCAGTATTGCATTTTAGTACTCTTTTTATAATAGTATAGCCTTAATTAGGAGAGAATTTATGCGTGATTCACACATACACACCACCCACAAACGTGTGTGACAATAACTCTGTTCTAAGATTTCCTCCCAACCATATAGTGCCTCATTCCTAGTTTTTATAGACAGTAAAGTTTCTCAGAAACTCAGGAAGGGTGTCTTGTGAGATAGAATTTTATAATACTGTGTGAAACAACAACTGACATGTTATTTGGTGGATGAGATAAGACGTATGATTTCGTACTGTGTCATTACATTTACGTGTATTTTCTGTCGACGCTCGGTGAATAGTTTCAGAAATGATTTCCCGTAATACTGAGAATTAAATTGGTCTGTGGAAGTACCCTAATATCGATAAACGCTAGGAGAAACATTTTTGAATATTTTGATTGGACACCAGCAACTGGTGTCTAGTGTGATGTGCTTAGTCGTTTGTTTGTTTGTTTGTTGCAGACTGAGTTCTATCAGTCAGGTTGGCAATGTGACCCCACACCGTCCTAGATGGCTCACCGTCACAGTGGACATTGTGATTTGATTATATTAGATGGTTGGAGGCACCAAACAAAGAACTAGACACATCACTCTAGTCACTTGCTAGTGTCCAATTAAAAAAGTATCCAATACAGTCCTACAGGAGATGAATCACCAGTCCGATTAGCTTTGTGGTAACGTCTATGATTTCAGGCGGCACTGGGTGAGGCGGTTTTGAATCTCGGAAAGAACATGAGTTCCTTGAAAGTTTCGCATACGCGTTGATGACAGGTGAGTTCCAACCGGCATGAATCTTAGGTGCACGTCTGCCCTACGGATCGCTTACAAGTATCGAATATTCTTGACTATGGTTAGTTGTTTTCTTTATTTTTGATATTGGGTGGTTATCACAATTTGTACATAGCGTAAATTGGTGTATGCTTTAGTCGCGAGATAGAAAATATTTGTTCCTCTTAGTAGGGTGTAGAATATTAATACGTGCTACGTGGTGGAAATCAGCCATCCTGTCAATTTGTCGTATGATATTTATCTCTGGCATCTTTTTTCGTCTTTGGTATTTGTCCATTGTCATTGTTTTTGTGTTAGTAAAAAACAGACAGTGTCTGCGTTAGTTGTTGTTGTTGTTATTATTCACCGTCTATTTTTTATTTTTAATGTATATAAGATCATGTGAATACTAATCTTGTAAATAGTATCATCAAGCCTAATGAATCAACACATAAGGATTGGGATAATTTGAATGAACAAGAATTATTACAACGTTTTAAAGAACTATACAGAGCTGATCGTTTGCAAGGTGAGTCTCACTTTATGTGTGTGTGTGTGTGTGTGAATAGGAATGTTCAGTGACTGCTGCATTGATATTGTTTTCGCTCTCCATAACACAGACTTTAGATTTAATGTTTTATTCGACGTTTTACTCTATATGCATAGTGTATTGTGTATAGGCGATATTATACTGTTGGGATGATGTAGATTATGCTAATTAAGCTACGCATATCATGTTATTTTTAGTAGTATAGTGGGAAGAGGATATAAACTAAAGGAATTTAGTAAATGTATACGCCTATTAGTATAATTACTAACAGCTAATATCATTAAATAAACCCTTATTGACTCAATTATTATGATGCGCTAACGAAGTTTATATATATATATATATATATATATATATATATATATATGTCGGTGGCACAGTGGTTAGGACGCTTTCCGACCATGCCCATGGTCCGTGGTTCGACCCCGACTGACGCACACCTGACGTCAATGGTCGTCCCGCTACATTTGGGCTACCGGTATCACCTGCTGAAAATTCCATACTTGTACCAAAACACTGTGTGAATTCAAGCCATAATGAAATTATATATATATACATATATATATATATATATATCGCCCGTCAGGCCCTCGAATGGAACCCGAAAGGGAAGCGGCGAGTGGGACGTCCAAGAGTGACATGGAGGAGATCGTGTGAAGAGAAGTTGAAAGAGTATGGACTAACATGGATGCAGGTGAAAAGTACAACAGAAGACAGAAGCAAGTGGAGACGTGCAGTTGAAGCCCTATGTTCCACTAGGAACCCAAGGGAACAATAAAATATGTATATATTTCTAGGATATATATCCTTTTAAGAAAACGGACAGAATGAGTTATAAGTTTTCAGCGGTATTGTAAGTTTCGCATAATGCATTATAAGTATTTCTCCCAACCTAATTGAATGCATCAGTTTTCACTTGAAGGATTCACATAAGGTTGTTTCGGAATTTGTTCATTCACTACTACTCATCGTCTAGAAAAATCGTGTTTTGATTCTTTTTTCTGCGCTCTCCCTCCTCGCCCGCCCCAACTATGGTTATTTCAATAATATGTGTTAAGATGTCTTATTCATAATATCAAAATATTCCTCTGTATTTTATCATAGTCCTGTAGGTTCCAGTTCTAAGAGGAGTAAGTAAAAAAAAACATTCATTTAGTATACTTTGCACACACGTATTTGACGTTTAGCGATTGTTTGACATTTGTATTAGGCATAAGCCCATTCGTCAGTTGTAATTAGGCATAATTAATGGATAGTGTTAGGTAAGCAAACTGCAGTTGGTGTGTAATAGGATGTGATTGGGGCTAAAATGTGAAAATATGAGTGACGGTAAGATTAAAACCAGATAATTAGAGAATACGTCACTGTATATAGAAATGATTTGGAAATTAAGGGTATTGACAGTTTATATACAGCTTATATTGTGTCCGTTACAGCGGACTCGACAAAGTTTTGATATCGCTGGAATGGATACCTTGCGGCTGTGTGAATGGATGAATTATTTGCTAGGGAATTTGGAGTATTCTTTCAATTGTATTATTCTGAAATAGACTTGGTATTCAAGTTTTTCATAACTTTTGTTTCACAGATTTTTTATTACCTGTTACTTTTTACGAGTGCTCAATCGTAATTTCATGCATTTATTCCCCTTGATGAATTTAAATAAAGCAAGAACAACAGTGGTTTGTGCAGAATAATATAGTGCCATCATTTATTTCGTTGGCTTCTCATCATTTGCTTACAGACTAAATAAATTATTAAGTTTGTGTACAGAAAAGTTTTAACATACTTGCAAATTTTACCTGATGTCAGTTGACAGAAAGTTCCACAATTTGTGAACAGTGCTCAGAAAATTGCGCTTATATATAGTTTTTACACAGGCAGTTCAAGTCAAAATAAATGTATGCATACAATGGTAAAGGAGTTGCGTAACAAAGACGAGAGGTGAGCAATTTCTCTCAAACGCTTCAAACCAGATTTAAATGTTTAGAAAGAAGCAGTTATTAGTCTCTCGTTGGCCTGGTAACTGGATGTCTTTATTCTCTCATCTGATTGCGTAATCTTTGTCTTTAACCTTACCCCCCCTTTTATTATCTGTAATTTTGCTTCTCTCCTGTTTCTATGATTTGAGTTGAACTCAGTACATCGTTACCTAATTTATTAGTTACTCATCGTCTTACTCACCTCTCGTTTTTATTACGTAACTCCTTTACCATTGTATGCATACATTTATTTTGACTTGAACTGCCTGTGTAAAAACTATATATAAGCGCAATTTTCTGAGCACTGTTCACAAATTGTGGAACTTTCTGTCAACTGACATCAGGTAAAATTTGCAAGTATGTTAAAACTTTTCTGTACACAAACTTAATAATTTATTTAGTCTGTAAGCAAATGATGAGAAGCCAACGAAATAAATGATGGCACTATATTATTCTGCACAAACCACTGTTGTTCTTGCTTTATTCAAAATCAATTGTAATTGTTTGTAAGTAATTAAAAAAAAGCCCAGGAGAAAATCAATCGGGAAGTAATTTCGATGAAAAGTATTACAGAGTGTGTACACCACTTATGGTGTTTTGTTGCTTTGCTAATGAATTCACGTGCTTTCTGATGTGTTACAGACTAACTTTAAGCATATGATGGTGCTTACCAAATAGTATTTTACATAATAGTTGTTTGGTTTTCTTTCTCTCACCTATGATTGGTGTTAAAAGGTATTCATACATTAATAATAAACTAACTTGTAATATTATTAAGTGTGCAACGAATTATCTGTCACCCACTAAGGTCTTAACACAAGGCCTAAATCTTGTCTCATGTCTTATGCTTTTAATTGCGATTTGCACTTGAATTTTTACATTCTAAATAGATTGATAGTGTATCTGGTGATTTAGAAAATTTAACAACAGTTAAAGTGGATAGAGTTATTTATATTGTTCTGTGAAGTTCGCTCAAGCTTACAGATTTACAAAGTAATGGTGTCCGAGTATACCTGACTGACAACCAGCACCAATTACCATCAACGGTGGAGGCTTTGTCAGAAGTTACTTCCTTCACTTATCTAGGAAGCACGATTCCAATCACCCAGTCGGAATGGGTGAAGATGTCAAAGCCAGCCAGCCAGCCAGAATCGGAAAGGCAAGATACGCCGTCATCATCCTGAAACCAGTTTGGTAATCTTCTGCACTCAGTCAACATAAAGAACAAGATTCGGATTTTCAACACAGATGTGAAGTCAGTTCTATAAGGGTCAGAAACATGGCGCATCACAAAAGGGATTTCCAACAAGTTACAGACTTCTGTCAACAGCTTCCACCTTCGCTGACTCCATACTGAAGGTCAAATGGCCGGCTGGCCAGAAAGTATTAACAACAAGAAACTGTGGGAACAAACCAACCAAGGGTCGATCGCCCAACAAATATGTAGGAGAAAGTGGAGATGGATCGGACATACATTGACGAGACCGTCGAAAGACGTCGCGCAATACAATGCAGGCCATCACTCGAGTGGAATCCCAGTATTAAGCGACTAGTGGGTCGTCGGTGCGAGGGCGACATGGAGGAGGTCGTGTGAGGAAGGAGATAAGAGATTATGGACAATCGTGGGCCCAAATGAAGAGGCCAGCAGAAAGTAGGATAAAGTGGAGATGCATTGTTGAAGCCCTATGTTCCACTCAGAACTTAGGGGAATAATAATATACCTAACTGACTGAGTCTCAACAAAGGAATTAACATAGAAGTGCAACAGTTCCATTTGCTTTATTCCATGTAGAACGCAAAGGTAAACAAAAGATAGAAAAAAACGATTCAGAAGTATTATAATAAGGTGAATTGTGTGGGAGAAAGAATAGTAACAAGGAGAAGAATGAGTGCATAATGGATATGGAAGATCACAAAGAGCGAATGCATCTACGTCATTGAGAATGATTTTGAGCCATATCATTAACAGTCTCTAGCCATTGGATCTTGTTGAAGTTGAAGACACACATTAGTCTACCCTTCCCTACGTGGCTAGTTCAAAATAATTGTTAACGACTTCATAAACTGATGCCAGGTTTTGTTTTGATCACTCCTAACTTCTCCCCAATCTAAGCCTTCATATAGGCTTACATTGCTCGTCGAGGAAGGCGATGACTCGCTATGCGTAGCACATATCCCAGCCATCTCAGTTGATGTAACTTCACAGCCTCATCAATTGACCTATATACTCCTTACCTAACACCATACGCCTACCTCAATATCACTCACCATACTATGCCACTTGGCATGGCAGAGAGAACTCAAATATCTGTGGCAAAAGACAGCTAGTCTTTTTATATCTCCCCTAAGTTAAGGACTATATCCCACAGCCATAAAGGAGGATAGAGTGAACTGCTGCGACGTACACACGTCCTTTGATCGATAACCGAATAGGTTATAATTAATGTTAGACTTTGATACTCACTAAAATACACTTACAAATGAAATCAAAAATAATTTAATTATTTCTTGTAAAATAGCTGATTTCACGTCTTCTACTTATAATGTACACCAGAGTACATCGGACGTACACTATACATTTCCTTTAGTCAAAAATGATTTTTTCACTTTAATATGCGTAGTCTCCTTTTTGTCTACAGAAAGCTACTTAATTAATCAATATACATTAATAGCTGATAATGTTATATATACACTTAATTGTGTAGTGTAAAAATTATAAAATGAAAGATTAGTTAACATAAACTTTTGAATCAGACTTTGATTTATCTAACTTCTATATAAGTGTGTATTATTCTGAATTCATGTAACTATGATTTTTAATGCAAAAATTGATTAAATAGCAAGGTGTTGTAGGAAGTTTTAATTTCTTTATCATTATTATTGTTATTATTATTACTATACATTTTGTAGCCACATCGCGCCTTTCTCACCACTCCACTTTTATTTCTGATCTGAAATTGAAAGGCAATTCAAACACACAAGATACAGACTTGAAAATAACTTCACTGAATGAAGATGATGCAAGTAGTAATAAACAATCATCCAGTCGTTGTAGTAGTCAACCTACAAATTTCAATGTAACTGAAGATGAATTAGGCAGTATTCTGCCTGATTTTGAAGTGATTATCAATGATGAACGTCGACAAAATATGCCTAGAAATGACTTGTTGAATAATAATAATACTAATACTGCAACAAAAGTATTATCAAAGAATATAAGTGAAACAAAAGAATCAACTTTAAGACTAGAAGATTTGGCCAGTCTTACTACAATGGCAAATGAATTAGATTCGAATCAAGCTCGTGCAGTAGCCGTAGCAATGGATAACTTAGATGGAATGGGAGAGTGTATTACAAATAAATTGAATGATAAAGTAGTCGCCAATAATTCAACAGTAAATACAGCCTCAACGCAAAAACCTACAAATTGGACAGCTAAGTATACCTTACGTAGTCATTTCGATGCTATTCGAGGTATTGTTTTTCATCCTACAGAACCAATTTTGGTTACATGCAGTGAAGATCATACGCTGAAATTATGGAATTTAAATAAAACTATTCAAACCAAGAAATCCTCTATGTTTGATGTTGAACCGGTAAGTATGTATTAAACTTAACATCATGTTTAGAAATATAAAATGACTTGCCGATTAATATATATATATATATAGGTTGCTAAAGAAAACAATCTACGTGAATGGGGTAATTTATTTCCACAACATTCTTAGACCAATCTGATCAAATACGCAACGTCATAAGTAATGAAATTAACAGTAAGATTAGAGGTGGATACAATGGCCTTAGGATTTTAATGCTTTGTAGTCCGTCAATACAATTCCAAATAGATCGAACACACAGAAAGAAAACAGCTTTAGTGTAGCTGTTGTGTCATATTTATCAAGATTTTTATATTAGTACTGTGTAATAATAGCTGTTCTACAGGAAAATGACTTGAAGTAGTGTCGTCCAAAGTATGAATTAGGTACAGGTCCACGTGCGTCGATGGCTCATCGGTAAGATATTCGCTGACCATGCATGTGGTTCGGAGCTCGATTCTCGGCTGGCACGTATCTTTCCCCCACCCCTAGCCGGTTGTAAAACCGATAAAGAGGGAAGGATGGGCGTGAGGCTGGCAACCCCACCCCTTGAAAAATACCACTGATACTGAAACTTCAGAGCTCATGCTTGAAGCCCTATGTTCCACTCGGAACGCAAAGGAATAAAATAATAAAACTATATGTGGGTTTGCTGAAATATCTGCTTTTCGAACTTGGCACGCTTCTGTGAATAATGCCTCGTTTAGTTTTTTTTGAAGTATTAAGGACTGATGTGTTACATTTCATGCATTCGTTCGCTGAGCATTAGTTGAGATGTTTTAGGTGTACACTAAACTCAGTCACTTGAAGTAGGCCACCTCTGATTGACTACAGTTGTACAAGGAAGTCGTGGGATATGGTGCCTGCTTCCTAAGATACATTCAAATTCATAGGTATATTAAGAGATAATGCGGATGCTTTATTTGCATTCTTATCTAATAAATGCGTTACCAAAGTGATAAACTTAAGAAATACATGTTCGACCTTATGGCCTTTTTGAACGTTCGTCTAACTGTTGTCGTGTCGTTTTTCTTTTTGTTTGAATAAGCGATCTCATTTAAATGACAAATTTCATATGTATATATACTATACTCTATTGAGCAAATTAATTATCAATACATATTTTACAACTCATCACATTTTCTAAATATTTAGCCTCTCTTTACCATTTTTGTATATTACTTAAGTGGTAATTCATAGTATCTGATTAACTGATTAATTAATTATTATCATTATTAGAGGTACATACCTCAGTTGATATGAAGAGCGTTTTACTTCTATCAGTGTCATTATCTTGCTTTGTTGTTTTATGATACTCATTTCTAAAAGTGAAGATGAAAGCTATCATGATTAATTATTGAAATGTGAAATTCTTTTATTCTTTTTTTTGAAATGTCCTGCATTAGTTTCAAAAGAGATTACTAACTATGCCACAAGCTACGTATCATCTCACATGATTAGTCTTAGTTCACCCTGAGGAAAAAATATATTCAAAGCCTAATTTATTTTGTTGGATCTGAGAGAAATTTTGATAATTAGAATCATCAAATATACGTATTACAGAATTTCATCATGAGCTGACATTGGTTAGAGAAGCATTGGAAAACCTGGGAACTGTTTCGTCCTAGTTTGGGACTCTTCATCAGTACCCACCCACTGGGATTCGAACCCATGACCTTCTGGTTACAAGGCGAGCTCGTATACCATTGAGCCACTGGGACTCGGTGGTGCGTACTGATGAAGAGTCCCAAACTAGGACGAAACAGCTCCCAGGTTTTCTAATGCTTCTCTAACCAATGTCAGCTCATGATGAAATCCTCTAACCAATCAACCAAATCCCTACAAACCAATACTTAAATATACGTATTGTTGTTTAGGTTAATGTTGAATATTATATCTATCATCCAAATGATACTTACAATATTTTATGTGTTACCGTTATAATTTTCTCTTTTTTGCAGATATACACATTTCGTGGACACAATTCCCCAGTATTGTCAGTTACAATGCTTGTTGGTTCAGCGATAGGAGAGAATACATGTCAATCTGGACTATTATCGCCTGCTTACATATATTCTAGTGACTTATCAGGTTGTATACGTAGTTGGCATGTATCTAGTTTACAAATGGATCCTTATGATACCTTTGATTTATCAGTAATGGGTCCTTCTCTTGAAGGTCATACTGATGCTGTTTGGTCGCTGTGCTCTCGTGTATGTACTTTTGGTTTTTATGTGCATACTTAAGAGTGTGTATATAATAAATCATTTTTCTAAGGAAACATTTACTGCAGCTTGCTATTCGCATGTGACTGACTAAAAGTCAAAGATGGCAACTTATATTAACTGCTTGATGAAAGTCAGTCGTTTAAGGAAACAGCAAAGACTAATTTCTGGGATATTGAATGAAACTGCCAATGATTAGTAAAGGAAATAAGGGCCGGTTACTAGAATTATCACATTATAAGGTAGAACCGACAGTATGTTGCTAATTTGTTCAAATGACATAAGATTATGAGTGAGCTGGTTAGTGTATATTTGGATACATTTATTCTAATGTGATTTGAGTAGCCTTCAGTCGATGGAACCTACTAAATTGAATATAAAAAGAGTTCACTAAGAAATATTGAATGTAATCTTCGTTTCAAATAACTGATGTAGCTTGAAATTCAACGAAATGCATTTTACAAGTTACGCTTCTTAAAATCATTATTGAAATTATGTTTGCAGGTTATAGTCAGAAAATACTTACATTTGATATTATGATTAGTTCGTAAACATTGTCATGGGAATGAAGAAATCTCTTTTTATATATGTGGATACATCGGGTCGAGATTATTCTGAAATGAGTTACTAACGTGTCTCTTAGCATTCAGTTACACTGCATTTGTGTTCAAACGAAAGATATTATGAAAACACTTAAAAGTATTAAGCTATTTATCTAAAAAAGAACTTGACAGTTATGTTCTGTAGTACAAAATTGAATTCCTTTAAGAGAGATTCACGGTAGTTCAGAGTTTGTAAGTCTGGAAAGATAAGGGTATGTTGTGTTGACCTGTTTGCTATACGTATTCATACTTCATGTACTCATATTTTATTTCTACCAGACTGCTTACTTTCATGAAGGCCTGAATGCAATGGCTTCCACTTAAGAATATAACTGAAGCTTACTTGATATGCAAGTAGTGTAGAGATCGGACCACGTAAAGATTTGTGGTTCGTTGGCTACCCTGTCAGGTATGCGGTTAGTAATTTCACTACTGAATATGTCGTCATTACATTGAACCCAACTTTGAAAGACTGATGGAGCAAGTAACTGAATAACATGTTTAATTTTTTATTACTTAATGGGGTTTTTCCACAGGTTTCCGAGCTTTATTTAGCCAGGAGGGCCAAATAATGAATTTGTAGGCATCTAGAATTGTGGTTCGGTATGTCTTATGCAATCGGATTCTCTAATATTTAACAGTTTCTTACGGGCATCAATAAGTAGTGTTTGGACGGGATTATTAAAAGTTTAGTTTATGATGGATCTAGAAACCATGTTGGCATCTAAAAATTTCAGTTGATATCTTTAAAATGTAAAATTTACGAAACAATTCACCTTCCACATGTTCTACTGTTGCATATTTTTGTAGTATGATGGATTACTGTTATCAACTTCAGCCGATGGAACTTCTCGTCTTTGGAAATTACGTCCAGATTCCTACTATTCTTCTGATGTGTATTTTATCAGTAACATGTTAAATAAATACGATGGTCTATCTCCACAGAACTCAGTTCCTACATCTGCTACATTTTTATGGACCAATCAAATGTATTTCGCTACAGGCTTCACTTCCGGTCATTTGTGTATATTCAATTTGGAAACTAATCAAATTGTTAGAAGTTTTCAATCAATAGGTAAAACAGTTAAATACTATTTAGTTCTGTAATCTATATATAATGTTCGTACATAGTGTTACTTTTAAAACACCAAACAGTATATGATGGGTTGTCAGAGTATATAATAATGCTGACAATTTTTGTGAACTTTCATAATTTGTCGCGTTTTTAATTATTTTTTTTTGTTAAGCTACGTAAGGTAATCCTCAATTAACCGATTTGTGTATGTGTATTTAATCAACCAAATACTGGTAAAGCATCAGACTAGTAATCCAGAGGCCATTGGGGTTCGCATTCTGTGTCGCGACCTGAATTTTCATGACACCTTCAATCATCAAACATCGCATAAAACAATTGCCTGACCATCCAAGGCTATCTCAGATATTATTTATATTTGAGAGGATGACCATTTACTTAAAATGTGGTATTTGCACCGTTCAGTGAATGATTGTTTAGTGATCGGGAATCAATTTACCGGGTTAACTGTATCTACTTTGACATTATTGATTTTCGTTATATGAACTTTAGTATATTACACACTTAGTTGAAGAGGACCCATATTTGCTCTTGCTTTGTTTTAAAAAAAAACTCATTCACAATCTCACCATTGTATTCGTTCTCTGTTTTCAATCTTTATGCGTTTGGTCCTACAGATATAAATGATGCTGTTTCAAGTAAAACGGTTTGTTCAGTGAATTCTATCATTTCTCATCCTCATCTCCCATTAATCATTAGTGCTCATGAAGACCGTCAAATTCGATTTTGGGATTCACTCAGTGGTAAATGTGTTCATTCGCTAACTGCACACTTGGATGCAGTAACAACAATCAGTGTAGATTCTAAAGGAATATCACTTCTTTCAGCAAGTAAGCTGAAAGTTTATTATTTGTGTGTATTAATTTTTTTCGAAGCCTAAGGTCACTAACTGCTTATAATTCGATACAATTTAGAGTAAATCGTTTGTTGACCCAGACTAGTAAGTAACAATGAACGATTAGTTATTAATTGCATTGTGAAAAAATATGTGCGAAGCACTTATAATATGAAACTTATACTTTTGAACTGATTATCAATCATTGAGAAACAGTGAATATGGAACAGTTATGTAGTCCAGGTAGATGAGACATTTATGGGGTATCAATTCGTCTAATACCAATCTTTGGAATGTAGAGGGGGCACTAGATAGTTCAGACGACAGAGCTCGAGATTTTATAGTTTATTTGGCAAGACAACTGACTTTCAGTCATCTTCTGGTCTTACTTCAACCTGCCGATATTCATTCAGAGACGAAGCCTAATGTCGAGAATCGTGTGGCCCCACTTAAAGCTTTGGGGTGGTGAAGATATGAGGGAGCACGAAGCATTGACGTTCGGTCATGGGGTGTAATCGGTGGTAGCTGAATGGTGCTATTTTTTCCTGGCTAAGATGATGGACAAAGCCTGTGGAAGGTAAGAAGGCGTGATGATCTTTTCTAGTTGATATTGGAAGTAAACTGGGAATCTACGATACTGATAGCAGTTAACGGCTGGACCAGAACAGTATGATAGTCATTATTTCTTTACGAGATATGATGTTATTTTATAATAATGTAATGATGAGCATTTTCGAAATCAACACCCAAGATTAAATCCTAAATGGTTTACAAACAGACCAAAAACTAGATATCCACAAGGAGCCCTTGCAGATTCAGTTAGAGTGGATTGGTGTGCTACTATTCCTTCACTATCGTTAGACTAGTACAAGAGTATGGAATGTTTGACTGGTGACAAGGATACAAGGCGTTTGTCAACAACATGTATGCAGCGGAAATACTGTCACAGACTAATAGCACTAATTGTTATGGATGACACTGGATGTTAATGCAGAAGGATCAATAAAAAACGGATATACTCTCTTGATAACCACATTTGTACGCGTATCATGCTTTTCTGGCAATAATAGGAGTTCTGTGAACTGGTGGCTCCTTGTCGTTATCATGGAAGCCCCGGCTAAGTCATGCATAAAATCGATGGGGGAATATTCATGAATATTTCACAAGCTACATTAGATATAATTTTCTGGTGATATTAACATTCCAAGTTTCACTTCTGTTTTGGCCAATAAGTGCGCGCTTAAGGTGTTTATGTGACGAATTCATCCAATTAAACATTGCGTCGCTTTCAATTCGTTAATTTCTTCCTACATTAACACGGGAGTGACGAGATGATATGCGAGTAATGCTGCTGCCTTTTTTCTTGGAAATCTATCGAATCTTAAGCATCTAGAAGCGTAATTGTTTTTATACACATGCACGTCTACGAAAAATATTTTCATAATATACAAATTTGTATAACCAGAATTCATTTAAAACTTAATTTCATTCATTTTACAACCCTGATTTAATCAACTCACCTGCTTGTTTTTATTAACAACTACATTCATTTATGTGAGACAATATGTCATCGCATTATTCAAATTACTACAGATAACGCGTTTTGTACCAATTGCGTTTTATCATTTTTAGGTCATGATTGTTCAATTAGAATATGGGATATCAATACGAAAGTATGCGTTCAGGAAATAACTGGTCATCGGAAAAAATTTGGTGAAGCTATCAATTCCGTTGCATATCATCCAACACATCATTTTATGGCTAGTGCAGGATCAGATGCATTAACGAAAGTATACATATGACTAGCAAAAGTTGTAATAAATTAACCAAGTACTTACTGTTACTCATTAACATTGAGATGTACATATTTTCGTTTCTTTCGCGTTGAGCCTTCAGTTTAATAATAACATTCAGTTAGTTTCAAATATTACTTCATGACTTTGAATTGTGCTGAAATACAGCAACTTAATTTCTCATAATATTCTCTACCAAATATCTTTTGTAACTTCTCTTTTCACTATAATATACTAAATCATTTTTACCGGTGACTGTATCATACTCCTTTTACTTATGTACAATACCGTTGCATTTTTACTATAAATGATAAATCACTCGCTTTTTAAATCTCCTCTGAGAAATAAATCACAGACTACATGTAAACCAGAGATGCCTGTCATTTAAAAAACAGTTAACTAGGACTGCACTTGGCTCTGGTGTTAGTGTGTTTACGCGTAGTTTTGTCCCAGTAATACCCAGAAGTGAACGCCGAACAGTATTTCAAAACAACTGGTGACCACACATTTGATCCTATTTGGCGATAACCAGTTCGGATGTTCCACAGTTTAGGACTATGTGCTTATACTAGCAACGAATTGCCCAAAGCTTGTGTTCATCAGGAATATGAATGCGATACAATACGCGAATGAAAAAGAATAACAGTCATAAACACTATGCATTGGTTGTGGTATAGCTTTGATGCGTGAAACACCCGTAGTTAACCTCCCTTATTCAAAAATAGAACAAACGGTTAAATAAATAGACTACATCTGGTTAACGTAATGAGCTTCTGGACCTCAGCCAGATGCTTAGGATGATTTAAGTTTCGTCTTATAGAGCAGGTTCTGACGGTATTTTGTGATATCCATGGGTCGGTAAACACGCACTCTCAGTCTCCATAGCTCGGCTATGCTGGTTCGGAAGTTTTTTCACCAAAATAAACATCAACTTTTCTTTATGTGGACATATTGCACTTGTGAGTAATTGAGTCTTTCCCATTCCTGCCTCACATTATAAGTAGCTACAAGTTAGGTAGGATGCTCATTAAATGGTTACTACTCTCAGTTGAGCACAGTGAGGCTGGTCGCGTTACGCAGTAACGACACACACAACACTAAGTATCCTCGAGCTCTCATTTGAATTTGTTCGATTCCAATACTCTGTCCATCTGAGTGTCACCGCGACAACACGAGTGTAAACCCGTGCTCATTCGTGGTCCTCGACTGGGAGCCAATTACTCACAGCACATCATATGAAGGATGACCCCACAAGGAGATTGAATCCAATCGTGTGTAACGCCACACCCCTGCAGTATGCGGTAACGGGGTTGCTTATTTCACAAGATAGCGCGTAGTTGTGGCGAGATACAGAAACCGTACGTTGAAACCTCACGCTCTTAAGATTCTCCACCTCTTGTCTTGATCATACACCTTCTACATACTCCCACGAGAATTTTCCACTCCACTGTACGTCAATGAACCCACTATTCAATATTCTTGCGGAAGGCATCGCACATTGTGTACCACTTGGGGAATCTTGTCAGTGGCGCGCGCCACACTTGTTCCTCCTTCGGAAACCTGTGGGCGTGGCCGTCCCGACCTTGTTGTAGCTTTGTGCTGACGTCTCTAACCAGTTCCATGCAACCTTGGAGTTGATTGGCCTTCGCATGTTTCTGTTTGTCCCCTCTTCTAAAGGTGTAATCATGACCATGGTTTTGATGTTATTGACAATTGCACCGACTAGTTATTTAAATGGTCAAAGAGAGGTCGAGGCAAGCGGGTTGGCTTCTGTACGTCTACAAGTCGTCAAACTGACAGCGGTTGTCGTCTACTTCTTCGAACTCGTACCGGCTGGTTTTCGCCCCTGATGGCGACAAACATACCTGGTGACCTGATGTAACCCTTGTCGAATGATGGCTTGAATCAAATATTACTCAGTCGGGCTTAAATTTATCGACTGTTCGAATAGCCCATGAAAGTCCTTTCGTACTCTACTCTTCGTTATTATATTTATTTCCGGCTTCATTTGATCCACTACTTAATATGGACGTACTTTCTCTTCGCCAGATTGCCTTCCAGTTTCACCCTGTTTTGTTATTCTTCTCCTCATTTGTGAGATTCCCTACGTCCCACTGTTTGACTGACTGTTTTCGACATAGAACTTTGCACAAATGTGCGTTCAAGTCGCCACTGTTTACTAATGCCTGCAGACTACTTTCGAAATTTATCATCTACTTTCCGAGTAGCATTGGCTTAGCAAGCTCATTAACATAGACTGATGTTACACTGGGCTTATGACTGTTTTCCGTCATCTTGTTATCCCCCTGTTTAATCAGGGTCCCACATTCGTGCACTGGGTCCCATAATCTAGGCATGTTTTGCTCAAAGTTGTTGCTTTCGACTGAACACACTGCCCAGATGGTTAGTCTGCCGACGCTCAGGAAGGTATTAAGAGTCTGGCGATGTGATGCACTTCATTCAATCCTATACATGCCATGGCTACTCGCGGATCTCAATTACATGGACATCTACCTGTTAATCCTAAATATGTGCCCTTCGATAATCTAAAACTCGTACGCTTATAGGTGTCGACCTAACAAAAACAAGTGTTACCGAGCTTTGAAGTTAATTCAGCAGCAATGTTAACAATCAGGTCGTAGTTTTGTACTAGAAAACATTAAAAACCATGTGCATCTCGTAATTGGAATACCACCCTAGGCCGCTCTGTGGACACAATTTGTGACAGTTAAGGACCCACTTCATACGTGCTTAAATGGGAGTGATATCGAAAAAGTATGCGCTGGAGTTAACCTAATGCTGCCAATATGATCAGGAAACACTAAAACGTGCGGTGATGATCCAATTTACTACGCACCACTAATTACCACTGGAATGTTTCACGTGGAATAAGTGGTAACCTAAGTGTCAGACTTGACAATCCGCACATATACGGTTACAGATTATACATAGACACTCCCTATGAGAGCTTTTGAACTCAACAAAGCCCGACATTTTATGTCAGCAAATCTTCTAGAATTTGCACTGAGGAAGAAATACGCTTAATTAACTTTACTCCAATAGGCAAACAACGACTTCATGTTACAAAACATATTGTTGTAACCGGAACAAATCGCCACTGACACATTTTGCACCGAACTCTCAGTACAGTCCGACATGTTTGTGTCATGAATATTATGCTCAAATCAATCTTCATACATTTTAACGCCTCAATGCGAGTTACTATCAAGTTCGCGATACAGATATAGACACTCACAAACGTCTCAGCAATTTTTCGGGGAGCTAACGTCACGGCTTAGTTGAAACATTTTCCGCTCACGTAACGCATTAGTCTGTTTGGTTCAGGCTGATCGGTACCACCTGAAGCGACGCTTCTTTAGGAACACCGACTGAGAGTACCAAAACAAGAAAAGCAAAATTTCCCGAGCGTCTGAATCGGAGATAAGATGACGCCAAGTTCCACGCATGAATAAAAAAGCAATCGGACTTTGTGATGAATCCGCACAATTACTGTGCACGGGTTAGGAACGAGAAAACCTCACAATCTCCGTGTACTACGAATTAGTTTAATGCTGTTCGGAAATCACGAAGTACTGAGATTTGAGAGCAGAGAATGGTCTCTCAAACATACCATATTTGACGCTAATATCATGCTTGTCGAAATGCAGAAGCCTATGGTATCTTCGAGGTTATTAAACCCTCACATCACTAGAAACGACGGGTGAAAACTATTCCTTACTGTCTGCTTTGATTTGTGAACGACGTAAACTCAGAAGAACCATGGACCTAAGAGGACGTCTCGAAGATGATCACGAATAAGTTGTGAATCATAACGAGATGACTCCTTCCTGAAGTTACAAGATATCTTATTAGGACAGGGATGGAGACCAAACATCAAATTCCCATCAATAATGGTTAACCGCTTATACGGGGCAACACGACGTTAAAACCCGATTCTATATGGAGGGGTCAGTTAGTAGAACAGCAGGCCCCAAAAACGTTGACTTTTCCGGGCAGAAAATGTCGTGGCAACGAACACAACCCATAGTTATCAACATCTGCATCACAAATGGCAATGTTAGTACTCAACTACTAAAACGCTTAGAGAAGACATGAGGAGAGATTTTAGGCATTTTCGAGCGTTACTTTTATTTCTGAAATGCACCTCACCAGAATTCCAACCTCATTTGCATTTCAAATGTGCGATACCTTTGACACCCGTGGAGAATTTACAAGGCAGTCGAGTTTCGCATGAAGGACGGTAGACTAAGAGTGAAGCAGCACACTGAGATGAAATATACCATCAAAAGTGCCACTGAGTCGCCAGCATAGGGACAAAGTGAGGGGTTTATGAACACCGTCGTGAAAAGACAGGCCACTCTCATGTTACAAGCCTTGCTCCAAATAGTAAATTTTACTGCCACCAGCATCTGCAAACAGATAGACTTGTGACGCACTTAGTCTTGTAAAGTGCACTGAACTCTGCTTCAGTAGCTAAGTGAAGTTCCTGTCGCAAAATAAATGGCCTGTAGTGCCCGTCTAGTTAAGGGAGAATTGCACTACAGCACTGGTAAAACGGCAACCCGCCCCATCGTAGCAGACACACCAGAATGCATAGTAGGTAGATCACCCGCTGTTGTAATTGGAATAGGCTGAAACATTGGGAAGATTGACTAGTTTTTGGGATCCAACGCCCATACAGCTAAGGGGTTTTAACATAATACGACTTCTGAGTTAACTTGGTACTTAGTATGCGAGACGAAATGACACAAATCATTCCCAAGAAATGAGTACAGAAAGGTGAGGCAGTGGACGGGTAGACTATTTTCACATTACAAACCCTAGCCCGACCCGGACTGCTCCGCCAACTGAACACGAAAGCCTCAAATCCTTTTTAGAAGTGGGTCTAGGATGAGAGCATAGGGATATACTTCATGTACCAAGTACTACTAAGCTTGAATAGGAGCGGGATCAAATGACGTTTGTAAAACAAAGTGTAATTCCCTCACAAAATGACCCGAAGTCCCAACTTAGGCCCACAGAAAAGATCGGGAATCAGCTCAGTGTTTATGTCAGTGAGTGCTGTAAATCATTAAACCCCTAATAGCTTCTCTCCGCGACATTAATTCCTAACCGTTCATTCGTATCATGCGAAAACCTGAACCAGACGAATCCGTTGCGAGGGAAAGCCAACGATATCAAGAGTATGATTAATGACTCTTATAGCCGGCGTTAGTACAAAATCCTGTCTGCCTATTAGCCGCAGTGTTGTGTATATACGACCTTGTGTTTCTGAGCACATAAGACAGCTTTACGCTTTGATACACTAAACGTAGGTACTCCAAATGGAATATACTAACAATACTTAATCGCCTAGCTCTACTGCCCATATAACATCTGCTAAATGAAAGCATGCACAACTGGTTATATTCAATAGATTTATATGCCAAGTAGTTAACTTGGATGTTTAGGAAAAGAAAGAAATACAAAGCAAAATGATTTCATACATACGCTTCTTTAGAACTTGAGATAAAATATGCATAAAATCTCCTTAGTGAGGTTATGAAACGAAGCAATACATGTTTATCCGAACAAAATAATACGTGTTCGGATTTGTATATGTGAGGACCAATTTCAGACAACATGAAATATCTGCCACAGACAGATAGTAGCAACATGTCAACTTTTAAGGATTTGTAATAGTATTAATAGTTAAAGATGATACAATGACTACCTAAATGAACATAACCATGAAGATATAGAAATTAGCATGTTAAGAGAACTTTGCAATAATTTGAAACAAAAAAGTAGAATGGTAAAACGATAGATTGCACTACTGGTGTGCACCTACATGACTCTCGGGGACTGTATGTCAGAAAATTCAATTATCCCTAAAAGCAACTCTGGCCACGGTAGCAGGCACCAGCATCAATCACGGCCAAGCATTAGGCTTTTTCGTCCGTGTTTTTCTTTGCATCTTCTACAGAATATCACTTTAAGACAAGTGTTTCGACTTACCTTCTCCCTCAGGATCCGAAGTCCACAGCGTTAGATTGTCTCGTAGCAACTGCATGATCAAAGTGGAGTCTTTATAACTTTCTTCTGACAACTGGTCTAGCTTGGCAATAGCATCATCAAATGCAGAACGTGCAAGGTCACACGCCTTGACTGGGTTGTTCATAATTTCATAGAAATAAACTGAGTAGTTTAGAGCTAATCCCAATCGGATTGGATGAGTTGGCGCCAGCTGAGTTGCAGCAATATCTGAGGCCTCTCTGTAAGCATCATCGCTTTTCGCAGCCGCTTCTTTGCGTTGGGGGTCGACGGAGAACTCCGCCATGTAACGGTAGTAATCACCTTTCCTAAAAGCCAAGATTCGGCAATATGAATAACTTACATCTTGAGATAGAAAACTTTAGAATCAGGTTTTGACGCGGATTCGATCAGATATTTATCAATGAGACCCAGTATTTCCTTGGATACTTGGTCTAATTCACCTTCCAAAACTTCACGGAAACGCTTTGCAGCAGCTTGCTTGTCCTTGTTGCCTCGGCGTTCTTCAGTCTGCTCAACCGCACTAAACACACGCCAAGATGATCGCCGAGATCCAATTACATTCTTATAAGCAACAGAGAGCAGATTACGTTCCTCAACTGTCAACTCCTCACCACCCTCCACAACCTTCTTCATAGCTTCCACCATCTCTGGTAAATAATAAAGTGACCGTTAGTAAATGCACCAAATATGATATATGAAACTAATATCAGATAATTTACCATCATATCTTTCAACCTGCTCCGCCAACTTTGCACGGTATACAAGGGCTTCTCGTTCTGCCGACATCCTAGCAAACGTCCAGACGCCTACCAATATGGCCGAATTTGAGAAGGTGGTCCACCGCCCTACGACTTAGTTTCACTGAACAAACATACCGGCCACCGCGAAAACCTTTTCTCAGAAATATTTCATATTGCTCGTTGAAAAAAATTTTGACATATTAATTTTCATGAAATTCCTTCTACTCAAGCAATTTTCCCGTCTCTGTCCAATGTTGAAGTTTAGTGTTCGCAAATCATTGTAACTCTCGTTAATTAGAGGTGGATTCTACTCCAGCTAGTTAATATCTCCTCTATAACACTTAGAAATACACTTCTCACGTGGTTTGTCCGGCCCGATATCTAATCATTTGGGTTATATGGCGAAGGCTTCAACTAGTCAGATGAATATATGACACCACAAATTCAAACGAAAATCAGTCGTTTCCGCAGCTGTTATATTTTTTTATTTTATTTTTTATTTTGATTATAGCTTGATGCCAAACCGTATTTTTGGTACAAGTACGGAATTTTCAGCATGTGATATCGGTAGCCCAAATTTCTCAGGCCGACCATAGATATCGGGTGTGAGTCGGCAGGGGATCAAACTCCAGACCATGTGCATGGTCCGCGACAGTTCTAACCACTAAGCCACCGACGCACCTGGGAACAGATCTCCTTTATTTTCTTTAACTATCTAGAACCCACTCAAATTCCTTGCCAGAATGGCAAACTAAGTAGAAGGAAAGCAACTAATTTGACAAACAACGTCACACAGAGTATTGATACTTATCTCATAAATGTACCATGGCTGTCAGTGAACGAGAGGAATGGGCTTCATCAGCCCAAGAGTGGAAAACAAAAGTGTGGCATACAAACGAGGGACGAGGAACGGAAAAGTGTGGGACGAAGTGAAACTGCATGACCACTAATGTGAATGAACGATTAGTGAAACGTGGTAAAACTCATGGTTGACAGCAGGTCCTGAGGGTCAGAGTATTTTCCCGAATGCCTCGGTAGGAAAAGCAGCAATACATTTTGTTGCATCCGACTTCATGAAACAGTTAACTAGGACTGCACTTGGCTCTGGTGTTAGTGTGTTTACGCGTAGTTTTGTCCCAGTAATACCCAGAAGTGAACGCCGAACAGTATTTCAAAACAACTGGTGACCACACATTTGATCCTATTTGGCGATAACCAGTTCGGATGTTCCACAGTTTAGGACTATGTGCTTATACTAGCAACGAATTGCCCAAAGCTTGTGTTCATCGGGAATATGAATGCGATACAATACGCGAATGAAAAAGAATAACAGTCATAAACACTATGCATTGGTTGTGGTATAGCTTTGATGCGTGAAACACCCGTAGTTAACCTCCCTTATTCAAAAATAGAACAAACGGTTAAATAAATAGACTACATCTGGTTAACGTAATGAGCTTCTGGACCTCAGCCAGATGCTTAGGATGATTTAAGTTTCGTCTTATAGAGCAGGTTCTGACGGTATTTTGTGATATCCATGGGTCGGTAAACACGCACTCTCAGTCTCCATAGCTCGGCTATGCTGGTTCGGAAGTTTTTTCACCAAAATAAACATCAACTTTTCTTTATGTGGACATATTGCACTTGTGAGTAATTGAGTCTTTCCCATTCCTGCCTCACATTATAAGTAGCTACAAGTTAGGTAGGATGCTCATTAAATGGTTACTACTCTCAGTTGAGCACAGTGAGGCTGGTCGCGTTACGCAGTAACGACACACACAACACTAAGTATCCTCGAGCTCTCATTTGAATTTGTTCGATTCCAATACTCTGTCCATCTGAGTGTCACCGCGACAACACGAGTGTAAACCCGTGCTCATTCGTGGTCCTCGACTGGGAGCCAATTACTCACAGCACATCATATGAAGGATGACCCCACAAGGAGATTGAATCCAATCGTGTGTAACGCCACACCCCTGCAGTATGCGGTAACGGGGTTGCTTATTTCACAAGATAGCGCGTAGTTGTGGCGAGATACAGAAACCGTACGTTGAAACCTCACGCTCTTAAGATTCTCCACCTCTTGTCTTGATCATACACCTTCTACATACTCCCACGAGAATTTTCCACTCCACTGTACGTCAATGAACCCACTATTCAATATTCTTGCGGAAGGCATCGCACATTGTGTACCACTTGGGGAATCTTGTCAGTGGCGCGCGCCACACTTGTTCCTCCTTCGGAAACCTGTGGGTGTGGCCGTCCCGACCTTGTTGTAGCTTTGTGCTGACGTCTCTAACCAGTTCCATGCAACCTTGGAGTTGATTGGCCTTCGCATGTTTCTGTTTGTCCCCTCTTCTAAAGGTGTAATCATGACCATGGTTTTGATGTTATTGACAATTGCACCGACTAGTTATTTAAATGGTCAAAGAGAGGTCGAGGCAAGCGGGTTGGCTTCTGTACGTCTACAAGTCGTCAAACTGACAGCGGTTGTCGTCTACTTCTTCGAACTCGTACCGGCTGGTTTTCGCCCCTGATGGCGACAAACATACCTGGTGACCTTATGTAACCCTTGTCGAATGATGGCTTGAATCAAATATTACTCAGTCGGGCTTAAATTTATCGACTGTTCGAATAGCCCATGAAAGTCCTTTCGTACTCTACTCTTCGTTATTATATTTATTTCCGGCTTCATTTGATCCACTACTTAATATGGACGTACTTTCTCTTCGCCAGATTGCCTTCCAGTTTCACCCTGTTTTGTTATTCTTCTCCTCATTTGTGAGATTCCCTACGTCCCACTGTTTGACTGACTGTTTTCGACATAGAACTTTGCACAAATGTGCGGAAGTTCAAGTCGCCACTGTTTACTAATGCCTGCAGACTACTTTCGAAATTTATCATCTACTTTCCGAGTAGCATTGGCTTAGCAAGCTCATTAACATAGACTGATGTTACACTGGGCTTATGACTGTTTTCCGTCATCTTGTTATCCCCCTGTTTAATCAGGGTCCCACATTCGTGCACTGGGTCCCATAATCTAGGCATGTTTTGCTCAAAGTTGTTGCTTTCGACTGAACACACTGCCCAGATGGTTAGTCTGCCGACGCTCAGGAAGGTATTAAGAGTCTGGCGATGTGATGCACTTCATTCAATCCTATACATGCCATGGCTACTCGCGGATCTCAATTACATGGACATCTACCTGTTAATCCTAAATATGTGCCCTTCGATAATCTAAAACTCGTACGCTTATAGGTGTCGACCTAACAAAAACAAGTGTTACCGAGCTTTGAAGTTAATTCAGCAGCAATGTTAACAATCAGGTCGTAGTTTTGTACTAGAAAACATTAAAAACCATGTGCATCTCGTAATTGGAATACCACCCTAGGCCGCTCTGTGGACACAATTTGTGACAGTTAAGGACCCACTTCATACGTGCTTAAATGGGAGTGATATCGAAAAAGTATGCGCTGGAGTTAACCTAATGCTGCCAATATGATCAGGAAACACTAAAATGTGCGGTGATGATCCAATTTACTACGCACCACTAATTACCACTGGAATGTTTCACGTGGAATAAGTGGTAACCTAAGTGTCAGACTTGACAATCCGCACACATACGGTTACAGATTATACATAGACACTCCCTATGAGAGCTTTTGAACTCAACAAAGCCCGACATTTTATGTCAGCAAATCTTCTAGAATTCGCACTGAGGAAGAAATACGCTTAATTAACTTTACTCCAATAGGCAAACAACGACTTCATGTTACAAAACATATTGTTGTAACCGGAACAAATCGCCACTGACACATTTTGCACCGAACTCTCAGTACAGTCCGACATGTTTGTGTCATGAATATTATGCTCAGAATCAATCTTCATACATTTTAACGCCTCAATGCGAGTTACTATCAAGTTCGCGATACAGATATAGACACTCACAAACGTCTCAGCAATTTTTCGGGGAGCTAACGTCACGGCTTAGTTGAAACATTTTCCGCTCACGTAACGCATTAGTCTGTTTGGTTCAGGCTGATCGGTACCACCTGAAGCGACGCTTCTTTAGGAACACCGACTGAGAGTACCAAAACAAGAAAAGCAAAATTTCCCGAGCGTCTGAATCGGAGATAAGATGACGCCAAGTTCCACGCATGAATAAAAAAGCAATCGGACTTTGTGATGAATCCGCACAATTACTGTGCACGGGTTAGGAACGAGAAAACCTCACAATCTCCGTGTACTACGAATTAGTTTAATGCTGTTCGGAAATCACGAAGTACTGAGATTTGAGAGCAGAGAATGGTCTCTCAAACATACCATATTTGACGCTAATATCATGCTTGTCGAAATGCAGAAGCCTATGGTATCTTCGAGGTTATTAAACCCTCACATCACTAGAAACGACGGGTGAAAACTATTCCTTACTGTCTGCTTTGATTTGTGAACGACGTAAACTCAGAAGAACCATGGACCTAAGAGGACGTCTCGAAGATGATCACGAATAAGTTGTGAATCATAACGAGATGACTCCTTCCTGAAGTTACAAGATATCTTATTAG